TATATCTGCATATACAAAGTGGTTAGGATAGATATGCACCTACTTTCTCATAGTTCAATGAGAAGAAAGATTTGTACTAGTAGTGTTTAGACAAGACATTATTATGTCTGCATCTTATGCTCTGAATAACTACTATGAAGACAACAATATGCAATGTATTAATTATTGTAAAGTGTCCTAATAACCTGTTTTGAAACTGTCTCAGTGCTATTTCTTTCTCTATAAAATTATTTAGAAAAAAAGATTTAATTCATCCAGTTCTGTGCTGATGCTTGCTTATCTTAACTGTACTTATTTGAATTTTCTTTTAGGTCCCAAGGGTGACCCTGGTCTCCCTGGCCAGCCAGGACTTATAGGACCTACTGGACCTAAAGGAAACATAGGTGATATGGGTTTTCCAGGTGAGTGATGAAAAGTTCCTAAATATTAGTACCATTAAGGGAAGGTGGTTAACTATATTTTTATTAGAATACAGACTAATATAGGGCCTATAAGTGTAATTCAGTAGTAAAGACTTACCTAGTATATATGAGGACGTAGGATTCCCCACCACTACAAAAAAAAAGACAGACAGATATATGTTAATAGAATTGGACTGAGCAATATCTAAAATAAACAGAACTCTTGCTACAAAAATATTTGAAGTTCTAATGGATAGAAACTTAAACTTTAACAGTTAGAATTAGAAGGTATCTATTCTCAAGCCACATCCTTTTCATTTAAACATTCTTAAAGTCAGCTTTTATATATATTCATGATTGTGAAGGTCAAAACTCAGAGTTGAGTTTTCTGAGTTGTGATTGTTTGAAATCCTTTTGCTTGTTCATATATGTTTTAGATATTCCACAAGTAAAGTTTTTTTTTGTGATATAGGTTATTGAAACTATGTCTTTTGTACAAGTCTAGCCCCCACCTCTCTATTTTTTTTTTAATTTTGAATAAAGACCTCACTGTATTGCTAAGTTGCCTAGGCTGGGCCTAAACTTGCCATCCTCCTGGCTCAGCCTCCTAGAGTTCTGGGAATACAGGCATACACCATACTTCTCAGCTCAAAATATTTTGAACTTTTCTTTCTTTTCAACAGTGTCAAGATTCAAATCCAGGGTCTTCCATGTGGTAGGACACTAAGAAAATGCTCTGTCACTAAGCTACATTGCAAGCCTAAGAATATTTTGTAAAATATTTCTCCAGGTCCTCAGGGTGTAGATGGACTTCCTGGGCCTCCTGGAGTTCCTGGACAACCTGGCTTTCCAGGATTACCTGGACAGAAAGGAGATAAAGGTGATCCTGGTGTTTCAGGCATTGGTCTTCCAGGTCTTACTGGCCCAAAGGTAATCAAACACTAATCATATGCCACAGCAATTGTGATTTGTATTTAATGATGTATTTATTCCTAATTCTTCATTAAATAAACTGGAATGAAATGTCTTATTCTGGGAAAGAGATTTGCTCTTTTCCTTATGAAAGGAGATATGTCTTGCCATTTGGGTCATGGGAAAAAATGGAAAACACTTTCTGGAATTTTCATTGTTTTTCTATTGTATCTCTGAGTACAGTTCATTAAACAGAAAGCACATTTTTGCCTAGTTTTGTTTCTTGATTTTTAGAGATAAGAGTTGTCTTTCCCTTAATATTATTATTAATATAAAAATATGTACAAAGTAACATTAGCAATTAATGGAAGTGTAGTGGTATTCTTTTGTATATGTGCGTTTTTTTGAAACAGGGTCTCACTATGCAGGTCAGGCTGACCTTGAGCTCAGTTTGTAGCCCACGCTGGAGTCAAACTCACAACAATCCTTCTGCCTCAGCCTCCCACATGCTGGGACTACAGGTGTGCACCACCATGCCTGGCTTTTAGTAAAGTAGTATTCTTTACTTAGCATCTAAGGAAGTTCTCTAAATTCAGTTTAACATATTCTTTCACATCTTTAATGTGAAAACTTCTGCGGCATTTCTCAGGTAATTAAACTTAGAACTTATTTTGAACCACTTCACTCAACAAAAATTTACTAATGAGTGCTTAGTTCCATTAAAAAAAAGATACTCCCTTGGTCATGCAGTCAGATCACAGAGCTAAACAGTATTAGAAAAAGAAATGTGATTCTCAGCCTGCATACAAATATTTAAAATTCACATTAAAATAAGAGTTTAGGGAGCTGCATTATAAATATAATTTTTGTTTAGTAGTATGCAAATGACAACAGTTTAATTGTCTATTAAACTAACAGTGAAAGAGATAACCAAGGTAAGTTTCTACATATTAATTTCAGTTTAACAATATAAAGTTTATTGGAGTGAATGTAATTTTTTTCTGTGATCATTACTTTTTACCAGTAATGTAGTAATGTACAATTTTATTAAAACCTTAAGCTATAGACAAATAAAAATGAGACTCTCTCTCTCTCTTGGTCTTCTTTTCTCATTCCCTTACTTATTTTATCAGGCCTCTCAATAGTTGATTTATCATGAAGTCTTTACTTACACCTATGACTTCAAGAAAGAATTATACCTGTTCTATCTTCCAATACATTCAGTGTTTCATTTATTTATTTATTTATTTATTTATTTATCTATCTATTTTTCATCTTGAATTTGGTCAAGGCCTCAGTACGCACATCAGATTCATAGTGATCCTCCTGTTTTCAGCTTCTCCAGCACTGGGATTATAGTAATGCACCACCACAACCAGCCTCTGTGGCTGGCTCAGTGAGCCATGGGGACAGGGCCAGTGTAGCATGTAGGACCAGGGATCAAACCCTTGTCCCTGTGCATGCCAAGCAGGCGCTTAGTCTACTGAGCTATCTCTCTCGCCATCAGTGTTCTGTTTTAATATTTAGATCTTTGATACATTTTGATTGTAGCTTAGTGCATTGTAAGAGACATGGGTCTAAGTTTCATCTTCAGCATTTGAGAATTCAGTTTTCCCCACAATGCTTTTAAAGAGCCTATCTTTGTTCCAGTAAGGTTGTAGGACCCCTTTGTCAAAGGTAAGGTGTCTCTGTATTTGGCATTGTTTCTGTATCATCTATACTATTCCACTGATCTTTTGGTCTGTTTTTGTTTTGTTTTCTTTTTGTATGGCAGTACCATGCTGTTTTTATCACAGTAGCTTTGTAGTATAATTTCAAGTCAGGGATTGAGATGGCCTGTGACTTGCTGCTGTTGCCCAAAATTGATTTCCCTTTTCTAGGTCTTTTCCTATTTTAGATTTTTTCTAGTTCCAAATGAAATGTTGGATTGATTTCTCTAATTACATGAGGTATACTATTGGTATTTTGATTGGGATTGCATTAAATACAACGCTTTTGGAAGTATGGCCATTTTCACTATATTGGATCTTCTTAGGAAAGAACAAGGGAAATCTTTCCATTTTCTCATTCCCTCTTCAACCTCCTTTCTGATAGTACTATAATTGTCAATGTAAAGTTCTTTTACTTCCTTCCTTAGATTGATTCCTAAGTAATTCATTATTCTTGATGTTATTGTAAAAGGTGTTGCTTCCCTAATTTCTCTCTCACTGAGTTTATTGTGCATATATAGAAATGCTTTTGAGGTTTTAGTATTTAAGTTATATCCAGCTATGCTACTGAATTGAGATATTACAGGAGTCTTTCAGTGGAGTTTGAGAGTCTTCTATGTAAAGTATAATGTCATCAGCAAATAATAAGTTAACTTCTTATTTGTTGATGACATTATACTTTACTTCTTATTTGCTGGTGACATTATACTTTACATGGAAGACTCTCAAACTCCACTGAAAGACTCCATAAGTTAACTTCTTGATTTACTGTCTCGATGTTCTGAATATTTCTTTCTCTTTTCTATTTGCACTGGCTAATGTTTCCCAAACTATATTAAACAGGTGTGCTAGTGGGCATTCTTGTCTTATTCCTGATTTCAGAGTAAAATCTTTCAGATTTGACCGCTTATTATGATGTTGGCTGTTGGTTTGCCATACATAGCTTTTATCAAATTGAGGTACAAACATACTATTCCAATTTTCTTTAGTATCTGTATGGTGAATAGATGTGGGGCTCTGTCAGGTACTTTTTCTGCATCTATTGAGATGCTCAATGTGTTTTTGTTCTTATTTCTGCTGATGTGGTTATTACATTTATTGATTGTATATTTTGAATCATCCCTGAATTCCCTGGGATGAATCCTACTTTGTCACAGTATATCAACTTTTTTATTATTTGTTGCATTATTTTTTAGTATAACACTGAGGATTTTTCAGTCTACATTCATTAAAGAAATTGCTCTGAAGTTATCTTTTTTGGTTGGTTCTTTTCATAGATTTGAATCCTGTTAAGTTATGCTCCCAGAAAGGCTGGCCAAAGAGCTCAGAGGATTAAAGTGCCTGCTTAGGCAGATGCACAGGCTGGGAGTTCCAGCCCTGGGCCTCCTTGCTGGATGGGCCCCCGGGCTGTGCTGAGAAGGCCATGGAGACTGAGTGCGATGGCGTGCACCTCTAATGCCAGTGCTTAGGAGCCTATAAACAGGAGGATCACTTAGAGTTTGATTTACGTAGTGAGACCCCACATACACTGTGCTAAATACAAAATAAGTATGCTTCCAGCAAACACTTTTGAGAGTACTATTTCCCTTTCAGTTTCTTGCACATGTTAGAGGAGTAGTGGTTTTAACTCTCTAATGTTCTTGTAGAATTCAGTAATGAATCCAGCAGAATGCACATTTTTATAGATTATTAATTTCTTCTTCAACTTCATTGATTGATATTTGCTTATTTAGAATTTTGTGTCTTCTTGCTTTAGCATTGGAAATTCATAGATATCTGGGAATCTGTCTATTTTTTCTGTATTTTCCATCTTATTACAAGTACAGGTTCTCATAGTAGTTATTGGACTTCTGCATTTCTGCAGGACCTTTATAATTTCTAACAACTGTTGTTAGTGCTAATTCCTTGAGTTTGAGACTTTTCTTTCTTTCTTGATAAAGTTGGCTAAGGGCTTATCTATTCTATTTAATGTTTCAAAGAACCAATTAGACATATTACAATGAAGAATCAACTGTGAACTCATCATACTGAAAAGCTTTTGCACAACAAAAGAAAAAAACAACAGAGCAAAGAAAACACACAAAATAGGAAAAACTTTTTATCAGCTGTTCCTGAGACAAAGCAGTAAAATCTAGAATATCTAAAACAGTTAAAGAAAAGTGAAGATAGAGCTTCAGATCTTGAAGACACTGTTGCAGCTAGTGAAAAGGTAAGCAGAGATCTCTTAAAAACAACGAGGATGCAGGAAAAAATAATTCATCACCTGTGAGACGATGTAAAGATGAACAATGTGAGACTAATAGGAATCAAAGAGAAAGAAGGATTCAATACAAATGACATTAAAAAATATGAGCAGAATAATAGCAGAAAACTTCCCAAATATGAGGAAACAATCTGACATTTAGGTAACCGAAGCATACAGAACGCCAAATAACTTCAACCAAACTAAAAACACATCAATTTATATAATAGTCAACATCTCAGAAATCCAGCATAAAACAAGATACTAAAAAGCAGCTAGACAAGAGAAACAGACCACATCTAAAGGAAAATGCACGAAAATAATGACAGACATCTCTTCACAAACCATGAAGGCAAGAAGAGCATGGAGCAGAATACTTCAAGTCCTCTATGAAAACAAATTCCAGCCCAGACTACTATACCCTGCAAAACTCTCTTTCAAGTTTGATGGAGAAGTGAAATACTTCCATGACAAAGAACAGCTAAAGAATTTCATGATGACAAAGCCAACCCTACACAGACTACTGAAAGGTATTCCAGAGAGGGACAAAAATGTTCAAAACTACATGAATGAGAACAGAAGAAATCCACTAAATAGGGCAAACAATTAAACACAGGGGAAAAAGGAATAAACTACAACAGGTAAATAATATGCTAAAGTCAATACATCTCATTTATAACCATTAATGTAAATGGACTCAATTCACCAATTAAAAGAAATAGACTGGCACAGTGGATTAGGAAACAAAATCCAACAATGTGCTGTGTACAAGAAACATACTTTACTCATATAGAAATTCATGGGCTAAAAGTCAAAGGATGGAAAACAGTACTACATGTCCAGCACCTCAGAAAAAAGCAGGGGTAGCAATCCTGTTCTCAGACAGTCTCAACTTCAAACCAAGTATGATCAAACGAAAAAAAGAAGGCAACTATATACTGGTTAGGGAAAAATTAAAGCAGAAGAAGTAACACTCATAAATATGTATGCACCAAGCAGGGGAGCACCCAACTATAAAAGACAAATCTTAATGGATATGAAAAATCTAATATCCAATACCAAAAACT